CAGCAAACCTGCACATAGGAACTGTCATCTGGTTTCACTGCCACTGGCAAGACCTTTCCGATCCCAGGGAGTGGAAGAGGATATTCGAGAGATCTGTGCTTCCGGAGTACGGCTGCTTTAAATTACGTCAGAGTCTGTGGCTTCTTCCTGACCCTTTATGCTTTAATTTCGTCATTTATAATAATATCAGTACTTTCTCTCTCTAAATTATTTGACTTTTACATGAAAATAGCTAGCTTGTTATACCATATTACGTCAACCACCATCTATTTCTTTGCAGCCGGTACACTAACCCTTGACATAGGCTTGATACATTTTTTAGTTCATAGCTCTTTGAAGTCTATGTTTTTATTTGTTTATTTGCTTTTGTTTGGTTGGTTTCTTATTTGTTTTGTTTTATTTTACTTACGAATGGGGAAACTTAAATCTAGTATGCCAAGAACTGTTTTATATACCCCATAGTCACTGAGCTACTAATGAACCATGAACATTTGTGGGGTTTCACAGTAACTGAAATGCTTAAAAGCTATAAGTTTTTGATTTGCTTTTTAACTTTACAGATCAGTATAAAGACAAGATTAGATGAAGGAAGCATGAGTGGTGCGTTTATATCTACATTATGTACTCTAACAGTAAAGAAAATGCTGTAATCTAACCTTAACTGAGGGCGAGCTGTGTACCAGGCGCTGTTCTGATTTATATATTAATTCTGTGGAATTATGTATTAATCAGAAATCCTGTGATGTAGGTGCTATTGTTATCCCCATTTACCAGATAATGAAATTGAGGCACAAAGAAATTAACTAACTTTTCCCGGGTAATACGTTCAGTATTTGGCTGAGCTGGGACCCACCTTGGGCAGTCTGATTGCAGAGTTAAGGCTCCCAACTACTATACCATATTGGAATGAGTTCTATTTGTGCCTCTACTGTGATTTGTTAAATTAAATGTAGGTAAACTGCTGGTGCAAGCGAAATTTATAAAAAGTAGTTACATCAATGAGAGTTTAAAATCTTTCATTTCTGACTGAGTGTGGTGGCTCACGCCTGTAATCTCAGCACTTTGGGAAGCTGAGGCAGCAGGATCACTTGAGGCCAGCCTGGGCAAAATAGTAAGAGCCTATCTCTACAAACATTTTTTAAAAATTAGCTGGCCATGGTGGCCTGTGCCTGTAGTCCCAGCTACTTGGGGAGGCTGAGGCAGGAGGATCACATGAGCCCAGGAATTTGAGGCTGCGGTGAGCTATGATCACGCCACTGCACTCTAGCCTGGGCAACAGAGTGAGATCCTATTTCTAAAAATAAATAACTAAATAAAATCTTTTGTTTATATGCATTATGGTTAAAAACGTTTTAAAGCAGTATATACTTTCTTCTAAATATTATGTTTAGCAGAAGTCTGCAGAAATGGCAATTCCTATTTTCAAAAATAGAATCAATATTTTTGGTTAGATTTTTCTTGTTTAATTTTTTCTCTTACAATGGCATCTTTCTTAATGATTAATATCACAGTTTACCTGCTAGCCAAAGGCTTTCAGGCATACCATGTTAAGAATAACAACAACAAAAATAATTTTTGCCTTCTTTTTCTCCAAAATTCTGTTACACTTCATAAAAATCTTAGTCATAAAAATGTACTGTCTGTGATCATGTCATACCTTTTTTATTGAGAATCACTGTTTTAGGGTGCCACTTATGATTTATTTAACTTCAGTGAAAATTATATGTAAATCAGATATTTTATGGACAATGCTAGCAGTTGAGGAGCCATCCCCGCAAGCTAGTTATGGGGATTTCTGAGTTTGTCATGACTCTGAGGACCTTTCACTCTCAGACTTACGAAGGTTGCTTGCAGTGATCGAGGTTCACGCAGTTCTAAAACGCCTCCCCAGTGTTTAAGGTCCAAGTGGGCAGCAACTGTGTTTTCATCTTTGTGTCCCCAGGACATAACACACGGTAGGCACCTAATAATATTGTATGAATGGGTCAATGAAGGAACGGCATTGCACCACCTCATTCACTCATTACACAACTAAAAATTAATCTACTTTGGTGGTTTGTGATGGTCTGTCATGTTTTTAGTATTTAGACATTTTATTTATTTATTTATTTATGGACAATCTTGCTCTGTCGCCCCAGCTAGAGTGCAGTGGTGTCATCAGATGATAGCTCACTGCAACCACAAAGTCCTGGGCTCAAGCGATCTTCCTGCCTCAGCCTCCCTTGTAGCTGGGACTACAGTCACACACCACCATGCCCAGCTAATTTTTCTATTTTTAGTACAGACAGGATCTCGCTCTTGCTCAGGCTGGTTTCGAACTCCTGAGCTCAAGTGATCCTACCACCTCGGACTCCCAGAGCGCTAGGTTTACAGGCATGAGCCACCGCGCCCGGCCAGTTAGGCATTTTTAATTAAAGTTGTACTTTATTATTTTCTTTCTGCATGTAGAAATTATTTGTGTCTTTTTAAAAAATCATTAATGTTATTCAGTGTAGTTTAAAATATTCCCAATTCAGGCGCATCGTTTCTTTTATAACATTATAAAGGTATTTTAAACATTTTGAGACGTTTTTAGCTTTCGATATTAACAAACATTTGAGTATGATTAAAATCATCTTTAAGTAACAGCTAAAGAATTACTTTTCATTGTTGATTAAGTTTCCTGGACATTGGGGGAAAGATACACTTTCCTCAGCAGAAGCCCTTTACCATTTTGTTTCAGGATCTACAATAAAATTACGTTCTGGGAAACCACATAATATTATATATTTAAT